CGCAGCGCCTGCAGCCCGAGCCGGGCCGGGCCGGGCCGGGGAGCGGGGGGGCGCGAGGGCGGCTGCTATTTTTAATCCAATGGCAGCAGGAGCCGCACCAGCTGCCGGGCCGGGGGCGGGGAGGTGCCCGCCGGGCCGAGCCGGAGCGACACCCGACTCCCTGCCCCGCCCGTGGCCAGCCCCGGCTCTAGGCCGCAGCTCCTCCGGGCTCGGGGCTGCTCCCCTTTGCCATCTCTCACCTGGGTGGCAAACAGGCCTGGGGTGTCCCCCCCCCCGGCTGGGGGCCAATCCCACCTCTCCACTCGTGCCAGGGGTAAAAGGGCGGACCAGCGCCCCTTCTAGTACACCAGCTCAAGGGGGGGAAATGTTCTCGCCTCCAGGCTCCCAAAGCTGTTCGCCCGCGTCCTAAAATGAACTTTCCCCGCAGCCAGATCCACGCACCCTTGAAATGATCCGAGTGTATACCGCTGAAATGATCTGAGCGGAGGCCACTGAGCCCGCAGGATCGCAGGAGGATTGTGACGAGACCCCTTCTTGGCTGTAGAGGGCTTCGCACCGCGCGCCACCTCCTCAAATCTGGCCTCGGGGAATTTCGGCCAAATCACAAGATCCGGAATAAAGATTTCTCTCTCCCCCACCCCTCCTGTATCTTGGAGACTGTTTTACAACCCTCTCGTTGTCTCTGGACTGTGCTCAACTGCAGAGATTTCCTAAGGCAGTGGATCTCACGCAGGATGCCATGACACCCTGGGGTGCCCCAAGACCCTTTCAAGGGTGCTCTGGGGCTGCCATGCAATGTTAGTGCTGTTAGGTGCAAAAAACACGTTTCACAAGATAAAGCCAGAGATTTCAACTAGGAATCCGGAGTGTTAAAAACATTCCTACCTGTTGTGGCCTTTACATTTGCAACAGGAAAATTGCTGGGGCGGGGAGGGCACTGTAGTAAAAAACCCAAGAGAAAAATAAGAGTCGCTATTGTCTGAGGAGTGCTTGGAGTCGAAAAAGACTGAGAACTACCGGTCTAAGGTATTATAATCTATTTGTTGAATAGACTCCAACCTATATCATGGTTAAACTGTGGCAGGTGTTGGATGACCTGACGGGGGACATGCAGGAAGCCTGTGGCACTGCTAGGATATGAACCCAGACTTCCTGAGTCACAGGGTAGTGGTCTAGTCCAAGACCATACTTCCTTTTCTCTGGTTCATTTATGTTCTTCTCATGTTGGAAGGGATGTTGATGGGCTAAAGGATAGGGGGCCTCTGAAGACAATAACTGGAGTAGAAAGAAGTGACTAGTGACAAATTGAAAAAAAAAATCTGGAAAACGCATCTAATTATTTCAGGGATTTTTGCAAGTTGACACTGGTCACTTCTTTCTGCTCTGGTCTACAAAGATACACGTTACGTGAATCCTGCTGTTGTTACGTGCAATTTACACTGAGGCCCTTGATGTAAACGCTTTGCTTACACTTTAAGGGATGAAGAAACAGAACTGTGAAATGCTTCGTGTGGAAGCAGCACTGTGGGTGAAATGGTTAATTTATAGCCTTTTAAGAAAGTTATCTCTAGCAGCATTGGAAATTGCGTTAAACCCTGAGGGCATAGTGTAAACTGAGTAGAATTACTCTGGACCAGTGGTCCCCTACCTTGCTTGCTCATTGGCAACAATACTGAGCAAGCAGCATATTGTGGACTTGCACATTGCTCCCGCCGTTAACCTTAAACTTGTCAGCTTCCTATGGGTGCAAGTAACATCTTCCCTGTGAGCCAGTGGAGATCACTGCTCAGGACTTACCCGAAAGCAGCATCGGTCCTGGTAGCAAAGGATCTGTTAGGTATTGGAGAAAGAGTCGAGGGTTCCAACACAGGGATTTCTTTCAAACTGGGAAGGTTTATGAGCACATAACTCCTCTCTTGCTAATAGCACAGCATAATGGAAGGATATGAACAGAAGCCATTTAACCTGCAGGAAGATAACTGGCAGATCACAAAGAGCTTGCTCTAAAGACCCCACTGATTTTAGTGGGCTTTACAGCGTTTGGCGGCAACAGAAAAAACAAACGAGGTGGTACTTATTTGAAATAGTCTATGAAGCATGGAAGAAGGAAGGTTATTATTATCAAAAGGGAATGAAAGAGGGTCACTTCTACTTAGGCTGGTAATAAAGGGTCAGAAACCCACGGGTAAGTAATCTAGATTCAATGTGTAGTGACCAGACCCTGAGGAAATGCTATCCCCTAGTGGGAAGAATGATGCCTGCCAGGCTAAAAAAAAAAAAAAAAAA